GGTTTTAAGTTTTAACATGAGATCATCTGAAAGAGACAATCTTATTCGAGTCAGAAACATTCACGATATAATGGAACTAGTTCTCCCGATCGGGTTTTTACCATTTGTATTGTTATCTTATGTATGTAGGAAGAATGAAGGATTAAATTTCCTCGTATACAAAGCATATTCTTGAATGTTCCGAGTCAGAAACATTCACGATATAATAGAACTAGTTCTCCCGATCCGATTTTTATCATTTGTGTTGTTATCTTATGTATGTAGGAAGAATGGAGGGTTAAATTACCTCCTATACAAAGCATATTCTTGAATGTTCAACCAATAGCAGATGTAAGATTAACATTCAAATCAAATGGAGTAGATTACCCACATGACATTGCTAATCATATCACCAAAATTCTCCAAATTCACTTTGTAAGTAAGAAGTATCATTCATATAAATATATAATTTGGTGAGGTAGTAACTTTTTCTATTATAGATTATAGAAGTGATTATTTTGTTAAGCAGATAAGATGGGAACTCCAAGGGCCATTTTACTTGGAAACTAGTCATTTGAGGCTAGATGTTAAAGGAGCTATATACCCTCAAAGGATTGGAAGGAAAAGTTGGCTTAAGAATCAAATAGAGATGAAAATAAGCTTTTGTGTTTCACCAACAATGGCTATGGTTCCTGAAAATGTCTTGCACGGTTCTGTAGAGTTGGTTAGACTTTTCTTTTCTTCACCCTCTACTCCTATTTTAATGGAGCTGTCCTTAAATTATGTCATCAACCCTGTCTCATCTAATCGGATTCTGATGTTTTTAAAAAAAATAGTAATGGAAAGCAAAGTTTGAATTGCATGTTATTTTATATTATGTGTCAAAATCTAATTGGATGAAACATGGTTGTGGATACAATTTACGGACAAATGATCTTCATGCATGCGAATATAATTAATTAAATTTGTTTATAGACCAAAATTTGATGAAAAAAGTCCTTATTGTTTCACAGGTTTTCAGAAAAATTATGGATGAAATGAAGAAGGAATTCCAAGGTAGATTATTAGAAGATTATGGCAGGTTCAAGAGGAATAAGTCCATCAAAAATTTAGTCTAGGAGTATTATTGTAAATTCTTCTAATTCATTGTCCTAAAGATTCTCTTAATTATTAGAGAGAAAAAAATCACTCAATTATTAAGGGATAGAAAGTTATAAATCTTTTATATTTTCAAGAGAGTGATATATTTATTATACATTTAATAAAAAATGTGAAATCACCTCATTCCATATAAGAAACTTATTAATAAAGTACTTATATAAATTTATTCTATATGTTTTACTATGGTTTTTCTTGTATGGTATTTTTTCTCTCTAAAAGATTCACTCTTAATTCGGTCTTGTATATATTGTAGTAGAGCTAGACTCCTCTCCAGATAGTTAGGCAAAAATACATAGGAAAACTAAAATACAATGATATTTTTATTCATTCGACTTGTACTGATATTACATTTTTACCCTTAAAAATACACTATAAAACCTATCTGTCATCACTCAAAATATTTAAAATATAGAGACTTATTATTTGTTATGTTTTCTAATTTTTACATGCACATATATACATCTTTTAATAAACTTATATTTCATATACTTCGTTCTAATTCAACATGCATAAAAGTCACATGCTTCTCAAGTTTTTATCATGTCAGCATTTAATATCATAGTTGTAAAAATCGGTTCGTGCCGACCGGTTCAACTGATAAACCGGTGAACCTGTCCCAATACCGATACGACATAACAATTATATCAGTCATATAATTATATCGGTTAAAACTGACCAAAACTGGCCAAAACCGATCATATCGACCGATTTTCAATTGAACCGTACCGGTCTTATGTTTACAATCTTATAATATTAAACTCTTACGATAAATAAGATTACAATCTTATAATATTTTAAAAAAATCAACAAAAATAAGTATATTAATATGTATGGACTCATAATAAAGACGTAAGAGTAGAAGGTGAGAGATGTTGAGACATACCAAAAGTTGTTGTCCTTATCAGTGGGTTCAAAACAGACATCATTTATTCATTATTTGTTCAACACTATTATATCTATTATCATAAATCTTATTAAGTGAGAGTCTCGTGTATGGAAAGAATACTTTGGATCCTTATGGATTATGTATTATGATCTATGAATATGATGTCCACCTATCAGATTTAGACATGTTTCAATAATTGCGTGAGGTTTTCACTGTTCTAGTTTAGGTTGGTGTCTTCTACAAACTTTATTCGGTCTTTTTTGTCATTTGTCAATCAAAGTTGAGACAGAAGAAACGTGACAACTCAGAACAGATAAAAAAAGAAGTTTTGATTTATGTCTTCTTCACCAAAAAGAAGTATAATAAATTATTAGAATATCAGCTTTTTTTATTTTATTTTATATTGAGTCATGTTTCATATAAGTAAACCCAATTTATTCGATAATCCCAAAGGATCCAAAGTGTTGGGAGGAACAACTATATACCACAAAATAGATTAGTTATTTAGTCAAAAGGTGAAGAGATACCCTTAGTAGTAAAAAAAGATAATCCCAAAACTTTTAAAAAATTTTAAACAAATGATAATATCTTCCTTAATCATCCACATTATTCGGTATTAGGTATTTTAGGATATTAACTAATTTGTTTCAATCTATTCCTTATTTTGTTTGATTAAATTACATTATTTCATCAATTATGTTATCTTTACTCTCTCATTATTCCCCTAATTATAGTGAATAAATAAGTCTCCCAATTTTGTGTGTTTAATCAAGTAAATTCACACAATAAGACTAAAATCATTAACAATTGATAAAAGATAACGCCTTCTAGAAAATGAGGGGACACCCCAAATGTCTTTCTTACTTTGTGAGAATATTCAGTTACCCTTTTTCATGTATTTATTCCCCTAATTATAGTGAATAAACAAGTCTCCCAATTTTATCATGTGATCTAATCCCTTGGAAGCATTGCGATATATGAAATCAACACATGGACAAGGCATTTTCTTGCCATACATTGGAGATTTGACATTGACTGCATTTTGTAATGGGGATTGGAGAGGTTGTTTACTTACTCAACGCTCTCGGACTAGATATCTGATCATGTTGGGAGGTGCATCGATATCTTGGCGCACTAAGAAGCAATATGTTGATTCTCGATCCTCAACTGAGGTAGAATATCGAGCAGTGACCACCATAATAAGTGAAATCTTGTGGTTGTAGTGGCTATTACGTGACCTTGAAGTGCCACTAGTTGGGTCTACTTCACTTTATTGCGACAATCAAGTGGCGAAACACATAGCCAACAACCCAGTCTTTCACGAACATACTAAACATGTTGAAATGGATTACTATTTTGTTCCTATGAGAGTTGAATCTCTTTAAATCCACCCCTTATACATTTATACCAAAAATCAAATTGCATACATCTTCACCAAACCACTTGGAGCTAAACACTTTTGCTTCTTGTTGGGCAAGTTGGGCTCTCCTGATCTTCACGCTCCAACTTAAGGGGGATTAAGGAAATAATATATTGATTATTTACCAACATTATTGTATATTAGCTATTTTAGGATATTATATAATTTGTTCCAATCTCCTTTTATTTTGTTCCTATCTCTTCCTTATTTTGTGGGATTGAATTATATTGTCTGAGATATTCTCTTGCTTTTCCTCATGTATTTATTTTCCGAATCATTATGAATAAACAAGTCTCCCAATTTTACTAGAATCTAATTTGTTAGCAATAATAAATTCAGAATCGGGTTGGGTCATGCTTGGTCCTTACATAACCCTAAATATTGATCGGGTCTAATTTTTGAAACCGGACCTAGACCTAATGAGACTCGACCCTATTCGGGTCCGATCATGATCGGACTATATCGGGTGAGCGGGTAGGGTCAGGCCCTGCTCACCCCTAATGGAAAGTTAGAATTTGGAGAAGGGGTACAAATGCTTATGCGGGAGGGGAAGTAGTTGCATCTCCTTAATATATGGATCCTACTGCCAATATGGTTTAGTTTGATGATTTTCATCGTGTATTGGAAAATCGTATATTACAAATAGAAGAGAACACTGAAAAGACTTGCACCATCGAGGATGAAGAAAGAAAGAAAGCTATATCTTCTCAATAACGTTTTTAGTTTTTCTGGTTTCTGTTTGTAATGGGCTGTCTCTGTTTTGGGCCGTTTAGTTTCTTTTCTGTTTTAAGTTTGTTAGTTAGAATCAGTTGGGAACTAATTTCTATTTATAGCTTCTTAGTTTCCTCTTTGTATTCAGTTGGTTTTTCACAATTTATTTCCATGTTTCAATAAACAAGCATTATTCATTCAAGAAGCTTCCAAGTTCTTTTTTCTTTCTCTTTCAAGATTCAAGGTGTGAAGGTTGAAGATGAGATACCATAAGTTTAATATCGTATCAATAAGAATTGAATTGTTTTATTGTATGGACGACTTGGATGTTAGCTAGTCTTCTAACACAAGTGAAGGTATTATTCTAAACGTTTCAAATAGAGTGACTTAGACTACCAATAAACCAAACAACAACTTCATTCAGTATTGTAATTTTCATTTTGAGAAACAACAATATCAAGACATTTTGTTGATATATCTGGTGTTGGTCTTAACATGAACAAGATCGTTCTTTTTTAGGGAAATCATTTAAGAAAATGGAAACTGAAAATGATATTTTCCCTCACAATGAAAAGATTGTTTTATTTAATCTTTCGAAAACCCGTAATTTTTATCAACTAAAGACAGAAAGGAAATGTGGAATTACATTTTACTTGTAGAAAAACTTTAATTTTAAAAAATATAATACACAATCGAAATAAATAGGCCATCATCTAGTGTCTAAGTTTTCTAAATTATTTTCCATCTTGAGTCTCAAGTTTTTTGAGTTATTTTCCATGTTGACCCACCATTTATGTCTCATGTTTTTTACTTAATAGAAAAACACAATGAAAATTGGAAAAAGTATAATGGAGATGCGGGGGATCGAACCCCGTGCCTCTCGCATGCAAAGCGAGCGCTCTACCATTTGAGCTACATCCCCATTTGAAAGTAATGGCTCATCAAATATATATAAGATTAATACACTATACTTGACTGTTTATTATTTATTTGTATTATTTTTTTTAAAGAGTCAATAATAATTAAATATGAATGATGGATAATATAATAATAATATCTTTTTTACATTGTCTATGCATACATACTTTTCTCATGAAATGTATATTATCACATGATAAAATGTGAGTTAAAAGATGAGAGGTGTAAAATATATGAATGTGATATAGGTTGTATGGTAGATTCAAGAAGTTCATTGATAAAGTAAAATAGCTAGTTGCTTAACAAAGTGTGATAAAATAAAATTCTTTCCAATTAGTCATTGAGCGCTAAGTAAAATTAAATTACTAATATTGAAAATTTTCATTCATTCATTTTTGTTTAATCTCAACTATTATATTATTATTATTATTTAATTTTTTTATATATCAAATATTACTCTATTTCATTCTTTTAAGTTTGAAGTTTTCAAGTTTGAAGTTAAATATCATTTTATTCTAAATTAAGGACAGAGCTATGTGGTCAACATTGGGCGCACTTGCCACCCTGAACTTTTAATATTTATCTATATTATATTTTTCATAACAAAAGTTTATGAGACAATTATAGATAAATAGGCTATAATATCTATCAGCAATGTGTTAGTTTAGTGGTATAAGACCTATTAAATCCTTAGAAAGACTAAAAAGTTAATAGTTTGATTCCTTAGAACAATATTGGAGAGTCAGTCCACACCATAAAAGAAATTAATTCCTTATCAATAAGTTGAGAGAATATCATTGATAGTACAAAAAAATAATATTTAATACCTACTAACAAAACGCTTAATATTTAAGGGGTTTTTATACACTTTTCTAATCATAAAATAGTTGAGACTCATTTAACAATAACATGTGAGTTGAGGGATGATGCTCTTAAGTGAAATAATGGTTGGAAAATGTTTTATCTACATCAGAAAATTTCAATAACTTATATTTTATCATGTATTTTGAGAAAATATGTATATATAGAAAATAAACATAGATAAAAGATAGAAATAAATGTATATAGTTCCCAAAAAATTGATGTACAAATTAAAAAGTTGATTTTATTATTGTTTCTTTAAAAATGAAGGTAAAGTTACTAATAATATTTCAAGCTAGGCTAGTTTTCTCTTTTCCTAACAATACTTTGATTCATGATGCATATGAGGGTGAGATTGGTACTTCAAAATGAATATTCACACTTCTCAATACTCAGTATGCAACAATCTCTTCCAACAATTCAGGGTCATCATCATTCACCAATAGTCAGAGCAAGAACAAGAACCTTGCTTGAAACTATGAAAACGATATCGATCTCTTACGACTATTTCGCGGTTGTATATGTCCGACGCAATCTTCATAGCAGAATGACAATCTTGGCATATCCTCAGGTTCTTGAAAATATATAGTGGAGAACCTGATACAGTGCTTATTAGACCAAAAGAGAGTGCAAGCTTTTCACTATGACTGAACAATACTTGTTCTACCTCCTCCAATGCTTCTTCAGTGCAATCATCCCTCCCAGAACAACCAAATAAAACTTGAGAACTTGTGTTAGGAACATAGCCACTGAACCTTAACCGGCGAATCATGTCATTTAGCATTATGTAAATCTCTGCAGTTTGTGAATGTGACTTATCTCCTGCACTGAACTGATGAAGTTTACCATCAACATATATTGAGCTCATTCCTGGCACCTTTTTAATACCCCTTTTCTTAAGAATCTGCCGAAACGAATTTGCCTCGTCTACTTTTCCAGACAAGACATACATGTTTGAAAGCAGGATATGATACTCTGTGTTGAGGGGATCCATATGAACCAACTCTGTCATGATCCGTTCACCTAACTGCAGTTTACCATGTGTATAACAAGAACCTATAAGGGACCCGAGAACGAATTCATTCGGAGGAATTGGCATCTTTCTAACCACGGCTTCAGCTTCTTCTAACTGCCCGGCACGACCAAGAAGGTCCACCATACAACCATAATGCTCTATTTCAGGTCGTATTCCATACACAGATTCGAGCTCCTTGAAGAACTGCAAACCTTTTTCAACTAGACCTGAATGGCTGCAAGCACTTAGCAAAGCCATAAAAGTCATAGCATCAGGTTTCACTTCTTCAACCATGCAAGGAAACATATCAACCACGGCTTTTCCTTTCCCATGCATTGCCAACCCACCAAGGATAGCATTCCATGTCACCACATTCCTCCTTGATGTGTTGTTAAACACTGCCAAAGCAGCATCGATCCTCCCACATTTCGCGTACATGTCAACCAAACTTGTCCCCACCATAACATCCATATCCCATCCCATCATCTTCAAACCATAACCATGAACCCATCTACCCATACTCACATCACCGGATTGTGCACAAGCCGATAAAACCGAAGACAGCGTAACATAGTTCAACCCAAAACCGCAACTGAAAACCATTTGTTGTAGAAGCATAAAAGCTTCCTTTGTCAACCCATTTCCAACATACCCAACTAACATAACAGTCCAAGCAACCTCATTTCTCTCTGGCATTCGATCAAACAGAACCCTCCCATTTTCCACACCTTCCCATTTCACTACACCTTCCAGAACCACGGTCCACGACACAACACTGGGATCCTCCATCTCATCAAAAACTTTTTTCACCTCACCCACCAACCCACCACACTTAACATACATATCCATCAACGCATTACACACCCTAACACACTTCAAGAGCCCAATCTTCACCACACCTGCATGACATTGTTCCCCGACCTTAACATCCCCAAGCCTTGCACAAGCATTGAGGACACAAACCATGGAAACCCCATCAATGGATAAGCCTCGTTGTCGCATTTCAGCGAACAAGTTGAGTGCTTTTTGAGGGTAACCTTGGCGGGAGAGGCATTTAATGAAGGTGGTGTAGTCAACAGTGTCTTTGTGTGATTGGGGAATTTGATCGAACAGGTAGTGGGCATAGGGGAGAGAAGAGCATGAAGCATAGAGATGGAGGAGGGCGTTGAGGAGGAAGTAGTTGGGGAAAGAGAGGAGGCCGGAGACGGTGGCAGCGGCGTGGAGTTGCTTGCCAGGGTGGAGGGAGGAGGTAACGGAGCATGATCGGAGAAGAGAACGAAAATGTTGAGAAAGGGATGAAGCTGAGAGTAACATCTTCCATTTCATTCACAAATATAGATATATTTTTTAACAATTTTTCAATTTTCTCTTAATTCATCAATTATATATTATATTTAGAGGAAATTACACTGACATCACATGAGTTTTAGTGAAATTATACAGACCATCCTCTATTTTTTACCCTTACAAAAAACCTCTGATTTTTGTACATACATTACACAAACTATCACTCCATGTTAAATAAGTGTGATTTTTTACTTGTTAAACAAAATATGATATATTATAGAGATAAGTCAAAATAGTATATGAGTGAATACATTTTCATTATTTTTGTTACATTACAAAATGCATCGATAATTATAAGAAAATATTATTTAAATTACTCTTACACAATACTATAACGAACAAAAAATAATGAAAATGTCTTGACTCATATATTATTTGGACTTGTTTTCATAATATACCATATTTTGTTTAACTTCATACACTTATCATCTTTTTTATGTAAAAAATTACACTTATTTCATATGCAGTGGTAGTCTGTATAATGAATATGCAAAAACCAGAGTTTTTTTGTATGGATAAAAAAGAGATGAGTGGTCTGTGTAATAATTTTATTCAAACTTAGTGAGTGTTAGTGTAATTTATTCTTATATTTACCAAATACATTAGTTTGTTGGTCATATTTAATTTTTTTACTACCATTCATTTGTATATATTTTTTTGAAGAGTCAATCATGATTGATAATAAATGATAGATGATGAATTAAAAGTGCATAAATTTTTTAAATTGTCAGTATATACATACCGTAATGTATCACATGGCAAACCTTTTACTATAAGATTAGAATTTCCTATAATCTGCATATTTACACACTAATTCTGCTAACTAATGTGAGTCTAGAGATGTGGCAGAAGCATTATTCAAAGACCAATAGCCAAACTTTAAGTCATACATAATTTTACTTTTATGTTTTCAATTGTCATAACCCATCAAATTGATACTCAAAATTATGAAATTATTCGGTGAACACATTTATATTATGATTCGAATCATATAAGATGTTATTTAATCTATATAGCCGACCACATTTACTGGAATTAAGGCTTAATTATTATTGTTGTATATAACATTAAGCACTTGAACAATGTGATGAACATTTTTGGGACCTTCTCATTAGGTGCAATGAAGAACTCCTAAGCAGAATATGGAATCTTCAATGCCATTTTTTGAGCAAGCCAAGGTCTTTGTGGTTCTGGGTCAATGAAGCGATGCATGAGGAATTGTTGTGCTTCTTTATCCACCAATTCTCTTGCCCATGCAACTCTTTTCGATGGGCACCAACCAGGTCCATAGCACCTGAATTTTCAACAAATTATTTTCAGAATTTCGGCTATTGCAGCCTAATACAGGTGCAGGTTTAATGGGACAAGCACATATGGTACATGCACTAGTAATGAGTTACCTATATTCATAAAATGTCAGGATTTTCTTTAGTATTATAAAGAGTATTCCCTCACCATTTTGGGTAAGGGACTAATCCCTTTTGGAGTTCGTGGTTGTCCCTTCCAACAAATCGAATTTTTAACCCTTTGGTCATCCTTGGATCTAGCGAAACCTTACACTACTAGACCAACACTTTGTTGGTATTGGAATGTGAGAATGAGAAAAACTTCAAAAATTTCAAATTATTTAACTTAAAAAGTAACTAAATCTTGACCCTTACAAAAACACATTAGGGTCACATATTCTGGACTCTCCAGTATGGAAAGAGTATTTGCACTCCAAACAACCCTAGCATGTTTCATCTTATTACAAGAATATGTTGCATTATTGGTTCAAATCAAACCAATTTTTATCTTTTCATATATAACAAAATTATAATT